CTATACAAGGCTTATTTACTCACTATAGCGTTAACAGAGCAGACACTATGTGCTAGGCTCTCTCCGAGCCATTCATTCACACCGATACCTTATTTCATTTAATCCCCACTTCCACTCAAAAGTAGAAGTGTTAGTTTTAGTCCAGTGTCTGTTGTTTGACCGTTAATTTTAGACCTGAGAAAATCCAGACTGAGCAAGGTGCAGGCACTTGCCCTCGGCCACCAGCGAGGTGTCAGAGCCTGTGTTAGGACACCAGAGCCACCTGCATCAGAGCCCAGGTTCTGCCCACTGGGCCACACTGTCTGTCACTACCATCTTTTCTTGTCTTCTGATAAGGTGATCAATACAAAATGCCAGTTCTTAGAATTATACGCTATCGTAAGTGCTTTTATAATCTATTGTACCTATATATTTACATATAGATGTAGGTTTGTATCATGTCATCTGTAATATCTGTTATAGGTACACTGATGTTAGACTCTAACATACATTTATTTATTTATTTTTAAAGATTTTTATTTATTTGAGAGAGAGAGCATGAGAGAGAGAGAGCGAGCAAGCACGAGTGGGGTGTGGGAGGGATCATGACCTGAGCTGAAGGCAAAGACTTAACTGACTCAGCCACCCAGGCACCCTTCTAACATTTATTTATTTTTAAAGATTTATTTATTTTTATTTGAGAGAGAGAGAGAGAGCACTTTTGTGAGCAGGGGGAGGGGCAGAGGGAAAGAGAGAGAATCCTCCATCAGATTCTCCACCGAGCACAGAGCCCGAAGCGGGGCTGGATCCCAGGACCCTGAGATCATGACCTGGGCTGGAATCAAGAGTTGGACACTTAAGCGACTGAGCCACCCAGGCGCCCTAGACTCTAACATTTAGATGGTGGCAATACCATGGCTAGGTTTTAGAAGGCATGACTCAATAAGCTAGAACTTTGTACATTGACTTCTAGGTTAGTCATGAGTCACTAGACTTCTAAAGCAGTCATGAGTTTGAGTTGATTGTGAACAACACGTACTTGGGGCACACCCTCTGAAAAGATCTGCCCCCCTTCACCTGCTGGTTTGGCAGACCATGTCTGTCAAGTATATGGCCGAAGGACAAGCTCAGTGGCACTGAGAGACGTGCTAACAGAAGACACACGTGACCACAGTGTATCCAGAAGCCTCATAGTATTCTATCATAGAACTGAAATACCTTGCAGAGCATACGCCTGCTCAGAAGGACCTAGATGTGGTTCCAGAACAGTGCTCTCTATATCACTGGATTGAAGACCACCACGGTCAAACCCCTTCCTTTCTGCTCTGAGCAGGGTTACTCCTCCACACAGGACTCCTGAACGTGCCAACTGGGTACTTAAGTGCTGTGTGGGTATGTAGGGGCTCCTGCCTAGGGTGAGCACTGCAAATCAGAAGATTATGTGTATCCACTGATAATAATCTAATATAAGAAAAGTTTTGGAGTTCAAAAGAAACCCAATGTGCTAACAGATTCTGCTGTCCAGGTGAAAACCCTCCTATAATGCTGTATCTGTCTTCCTAAAGTAAATCTCTTCTTACTCTGGGATAAAATTGCAGAGACTGCAAAAATACACGTCTTTCAGTCCCAATGTCACAGCTCAGTGGGTGAGATTTTAAAAAAGAAAAAAATGGAGTTCTCATTAGATGCCATGGCAAGCCCCCCAGAGCCCAACAGACTGACAGTTCCCACGGAACACAGCCAGCTACCCACAAGCTTCGGCACTATTTTGAAGCCTCCCATCACTTTTCTATTTGAAGGTACAGGTTTGAGTGTGAGGTTCCAATACCTAAGTGAGAACATAAAGCAGTTTGAGTCTAACACCATCTGGAAAGCCTTAGGAGGTTTGCATTATCTTTGCACCTGCCACCAAGCAGAAAAATCAACTCTGATTTTTAGAAGGGACTGAAGCCATTTAGGTCTTGCTGGAATTACTCCCCTGGTAGCCCCCCACAGAGCACACCACCATCCCAGCCGTACCCTCTTCCCTCTTTAAATTCCCTTTAAAGAGACTCGTAGGAAGAAATCCAACCATAAAAGTACCACGTGAAGCTCCACCCACGGCGCTCTCCCCACCAAATTGCTGAGGTCGCACCCCGCAAACATGACAACATACCTGCAAACTCGCCGAGGGAAGTTACATCAACTCTGTGTTGCAGGTGCAGAGAAGAGAGCCAGACCCTTCACAGTTATGCACGCGAATCGTCACCAGAAATCAGGGAAGAAAGCACAAATCTCCAACACCTTTCTCCTGTTCCCATTACCAAACTGGGCCCTTGGGACTTGCAATATCAAGCTCATTATGCAAAGGCACATTCTAAGCACCATTGTTCTAGAGGGCAAAAAAAAAAAAAAAAAAAAAAAAAAGAATTACATGGACTCAATCCTTGCCCTGTAGTGTTTAGAATTTGTCCATCCTTCCTCCTGTCCTTATAGTTTTACACTGGCTTAAATGATACATGTTATGGAAGGCTTGATTGCTGCATGTAACACTGGGCTTATTACACAATGAGTGAACTTAAGGAGAAAGGTATTTTATTTATAGCACTACTGTATCACAAGTTAATTTCCTTTTTTACCATGGCAACGCGAGGCAACATGCACAAATTCTGCATTGGGGGAATCTCACCAATAAAACATATTTAGAATGTGGCTTTTGGGGGTGGAGGTTAGCTGATACACTGTCTACTACCCAAAAGCAGTACAAATTTTTAACTGAGAGTTCCAAACACATGATGTGGTGTACTAAGAAAAAAAGGGGATATAATATTTGGCTGCATTCAGTTGGGAGATGCTTCGTTTTGTTTTTGCAGGCCCCACTTTAAACCAGGTGTATTCTCAGCTGCAATCTTAAGGCTTGCCGCTTAGAGTTAATAGCCAAACTGCCTTGACAGTCATGCATGACATTTTCCTTTCCACTAGAATCTCTGAAGGCAAGTGAGGCTCTGTCTGCTCAGTGTGCAGTCTCTGTATAGAAGAGATTGTTGTATTTATAACTACTTTATCTTCCTCCTACTCTAATAAAATCTTGAGTAGCTTTGGGTTCAGAAGAGAAAACTGTTGCGTTGTTGCAGAAAGTAACCATAGTGTGGTGTCAGCACCTCGCAGTTACCTGAGTGCCAGTTGAATTTTGCCTCTGTTACAAAAACTCTGTGAAACAATATCAGACATGTCTATATTCTATTACATCCACCCAGACGTAATTTACAGGAATTTCCATTGGTTGAAAATCGGCCCAAATTCAATTCTTTTGAATTTCAAAAGAAGTGACATTTTATTCCAAAACGGCCCTAAATTTCCTAGTTTATCCAAGTTTTCCAACCTTAATAATTCCATGTCCCACAGATCATATTTTGATTACATCTAACCTTAGTATACGAGGTGCCATGGCAAGAAGGCCTAAGAAAGAAAGTGCTTATTTTATAACCAATGAATGGTTACAATGTTATTTGGAACTTGTGGGTGGATTCTTGGATCGTAAACACATTCGTTGGCTTCCATGGCATATCCTCTGTGTTTTATTTCAGAGGTAGCCAGTGGGCGACTTGCCCGTTTGATATGTGAGATGCTCATATTTATACTCAGCCCAGAGGGGCTAATTCTAGTGTGAGTAGATAAGCAAATCCTGCACCCACTATGAGCATGTCCAAATTGAGGTGCTAGGCTTACACCCCCTTTTTAAACTACTAACTAAAACAGAGTTTGTGTCTTTCAAACACAGTAATAAAATTTTTCTATGGTAGCCGAAAGTGAAAATCTTAAAGACAAAAGCATTTCTGATTCACCCACTCACCCACAACTGAAGAATTTAAACTAAAGCAAAATGAAGAGATTTGAATAGAACTATTGAGAAATCAAAATGTCAAGTTATTAGCCTTTAATACTTGGGTTTATGAGACGTGGTAATTTTTCAAAGCTGGATTTTCCATAAAATAGAATCTGTTCCTGAACACACAGGACAAGTCTAAGGACTGATGGAGAAAAGAACCAGAATTGGACCCTTCCATTACGGGAAGGCACGCCAAGGCTGAGGGTCCAGTAGCTCTCCCTGGCATCACATGAAAATGATGTTGTTGTTGGTTTGTTTCTATGTAGTTCATGGTTATTTCTCTACGTAGAAATTAGTTTTTAACATTAATAAGTTTTGATGGAAATCTTTTAAGAAATATGTGCTTTCCTGTCTCTTTAAACAAAATGGTAGATATCATAAATGGAAATGCACTGTAATATCATGATGCCGGAAGGTACCTCTCAAAGTGGTACTTTTGTCAGTCTAATTCACTAGTCATGGGAATTCAAGCCGAAATGATAGTTGAGGGGAAAAGCTAGATAAACTAATTAAAAGAGCAAACTTAATATTATTATTGTAATGCTAAACTAGTATGCTCCACTCTCAGTACATCTTCAGATCTGATGTGCGTGTTAACATGCAGATATGTGTGTCTATGTATGAATGTTTGTATGTATGTCTGTGTTTTCCCCTCATTTCCCAGGAGCTCTTCCCTCCATTCAAAATATTCTATATTTCTATATTCTAAATATTCTCTTTTTCCTATATTCTAAATGGTTAGTGTTTCCAGAAGTCTGACCACCTGCCAAATGAAATATTGTCCTACCTTGGGCTTAGGCGTAAATATACCAGTCAATGACGAAGATAAATTGAAGTTCTTTTATTCCACTGCTACACTTATGTTTCAGTTTATTTATTCTCTACTTAACTTCCATGCCAAACTGAGGTGGCTCCACGTCCTCCATGAGGCCATCCCCACACTGCAGCATCCCCACTACACCACAGCCTTCGTACACGTAAACTCCCTCGAGACGAAGCCTTCGCTTCAGATCTCACTGCACGCAGAGTGCCCTGCACACCTACAGTGTGAGAAAAAGCCTCTGAGCTGCTTTTTGATCACGATGATGTATCAGCATCCACTGGGATGTGGCCAAATCTATATATTCATCTGCATTCACCTCTCCCCTTCCAGGTGGGCAGCATGCTGAAGACCCCCAAATTACCTATTTGGCTGTGCAATATCAATGGAAAACCCAGTGTCCTTTTTAGCACAAACAGGCAGCTCTTATCAGACTGGAAAGCGGAGCATCACTTTGATCTGTACCTGTACAGTGGCCACCCCCTCCAGAACAAGCCTGGGCATCTCACAGTAGGTGAGCATTTCAGACCCCAAGTGCCGAGCACTTTAGTGTGCTCAGAAAGATGCGGCTGCCCATGTTTCACCACTGTGTGGGTAATTCACACTCGCTTTGCAGGGAAATGCTTAGGCTTTAGTTCTGAAATGAAACCCATGCACGAGTCCCATGGGCCTAAACCCAAGCATGGCAACCTGGGCATTCTACAGCTGCTTTAAATAAGAGCAGCGGGTTTAGAAGTAGCACAGAGGAACAAACAACTTCTAGGTAAGAGAAACAACAAAAGGGGAAGAATCACATCTCCAAAAAAGCCCTCTCCGGGATCTTTTACCTGTGACCGTCAGGCACTTAATGCCTGAGGGAAGAACTGGAAGAATGGAGGGATTGGGGCAGGGGGGTGCCATTTGGTCAATTCTATCCTACAACTGATCAGATGATCATCCAGTGACATTAGTCAGCAAACTAAGAGTGCATTTCTGTGCAGATATTTGAAGGCACTCCTAAGTGCCAGGTGCTGTGCTAGACACTAGAAAAGACATGATAATGAAGGCATAGTCCCAGCAAAACTGAAGAGGTTCCAGTCTAATGGGAGAGGCAGACAACCACACAGGTCTGTTTACTTTACTACAACCATATTCGTTTAAACTCATAAGTAAAAAAGACTAAACTTTAAAGGACTTAAAATTTTTAATGTCTTGAAACACTGGCCTTTTGGACAAGGGAATAAACACAATGAGACTGGGAGTCTGTATTGGGTACCTTGGTTCTACTGGTGGAGGCTTGATGGCTTGATGTTTGAGTTGGCATTTAGCCTCGCGGGCCTGGTGTTAAACAACTTTTCATTATAATGACTAAATCTGGAAAAGTCTCTTAGTGACTCCTTTATCTGTGCAGCTCCTAATTCTTCTTTAATTATGAGAGATATATATTAGGCCATTTAATTTAGGAAGACATTGACAATATGTTCCTTAAAATATCATTCCTACTTTACTCTCTTCTTTGAGGAAAGCATCATTTTTTTAAAAGATTTTATTTATTCATTCATTCATTCATTTATTTATTTATTTGAGAGAGACAGAGAGACAGAACGCTCACGTACACATGTCTGAGCATGGGGGGAGGGGCAGAGGGAGAGGGACAGAGAGAATCCCAAGCAAACTCTGAGCTTAGCACAGAGCCAGACATGGGGCTTGATCCCAGGACCCTGAGATCATGACCTGAGCCAAAACCAAGACTCAGATGCTTAACCAACTGAGCTACCCAGGCACCCCAGAAAACATCATTTTTTATATTAACTCACATGCATTGCAAGCATTCTCTTCTGGGCACTGTATTGGAAGCTATACGTGTAATCCCATTAAGTTCTCCCAGCAGTTATAGGAGGTAGATACTATGATATCTATTTTCACATAGAAGAAACTGAGGTAGGCAATAAATAGTTACTAACTGAATAAATGAGGCTGAGAGATGTTAAGTACCTTCTCAAACGTCATATGAGACAAAGCTGGCTCTTGAACCCAGTTCTTGACTACCTCACTAAACTACTTTGCCCTTTACCCAAAAATGTAAATGTATTCTTAGAATCACTGAGAAGTGATGAGCTCTCCCTTCTCCTGGTTTTCCTGACAACATTCTGTGGCCTACACCTGGCTCTATGTGTCACATCATGGTGCTGGAATGCGTATCACACAACTTATCAATATTCATGTTCCAAAATACACAAAACCCATGTTACCACAGACTTGTTTTGTATGGGGCATTTCTACATACCATCTACTGGAATCCCCCTCTGCTTATCCAGTTCTAGGAACACAGATTGCTGAGCCCAGCTCCTGCCCACCCATTGTGTGTTTTCCTTCCTTCCTGGCTTCCTCTGGAATGGTGTAAAGAGACTAGGGCCTCAATGCTGGCTGTTCAGGGCGCCTGGGTGGCTCAGTCGGTTAGGTGTCTGACTTCAGCTCAGGTCCTGATACCAGGGTCCTGGGATAGAGCCCCAGGTCAGGCTCCCTACTCAGCGGGGAGCCTGTTTCTCCCTCTCCCTCTGCCCAACCCCCTGTTCTCTCTCTCACTCACTATCTCTCAAATAAATAAATAAAATCTTAAAAAAAAAAATGCTGGCTGTTCCTCACTCAGATACTCACTCCCATCACTGGGAAAGGAACCAACATGAAGATGAACATGTACCAAGAAGACGGTTTTCTCCAGTAGAGATGGCAATCAGGACCAAGTGGAGAGAAGCCACCATCAACTGGAATGGAACCGTTCCCTTTCTCTAAAGAGAAAGCCAGGATGTGCAATGACTTATGAAGCTGCTGGGGCACAAAGCCTCATACGGGGGGAGACCACTTTACTTCTACACTCCTCATTCATGAACCCCACTGAAAAACCCCATTAGGCATTTTTTCTTTTTCATTTTCCCTTTCTTTCTCTTTTCTTTCTTTTCTTTCTTTCTTTCTTTTTCTTTGTCTTTCTTCTTTCTTTCTTCTTTTCTTTTCTTTTCTTTTCTTTCTTTTCTTTCTTTCTCTCTGTGAAGCCCACTGCAGTTGCTCTCTGTGCTATAGAAGAAACATAGGCCCTTCCAGCAGGGGATGCAAGGTGATCCTCTATCCTTGCACAGACTGGTTCCTTCATTTTATTCAACAGAGCAAATGAAGTGTCCCTGTATTCTATTTTCGAATTAGTCTTTTCTTGGTGTGATTCTCCCTGAGGATTATGGACACAGGCAGCTAGCTTTCATTTGGGGATGAAGTCATCAGTAATGCATCATCAGATTTTTAGTTATGGCAAGAACTCAAGCCTTCTCAAAGACTTCCTGGTATGGAGAGCATTCCTTTCCAAGGTTACTTTTCACATGCCCACATTAGCAAGTTCTGGTCATTAAAATAGTAAATGGGCTTCTTTGGGCTTGGAGGGGGGACTATTCCTGGTAATATGGCAGCAATAGTCGTTGGCTTATGGATTCAAGCAGTCAAGGAGAGCACACAGAAGGAGACATTCTTTCTACCAGTGCTATGTTTGTTTCTTGTCTTTATAAGCTGAATATAAATACATAGACAAACAGATAAACTGAAAAAGAAGTCTTATTCCTAGATAAAATAAAATTATAACTAAAAATAGAATCTCTTCTTATGTCATTGTTAAAAGGGGAAACAATCCTTTTTAGAATGTGATTTTTCCCGGTCCTGTTGAATGCCTACACTTTTTCTGAAGAAATACATAGAGTAAAACACATATTCTTTCTTTAAAAAGTACATGGAAACCATCTAGACCTTTTTCCTACCCACCCCACTGGTCTGCCAACTCACAGACTTAGGGCTCTGTATTCACAAGCCAAAGGTTAGATTGCTAAGAACACCTTTTCCACGCCCATTGTCCAAATTAATTTGTGAAATGCACTTTCATTTGGCTCAGAGAATAATGTTTTAACTTAAGGAGCATGTAGAAAATGAAACTTGAAGGTGACTAATAAATTATGTCAAAAAAGAAAGCCAATTTGGCTTGGATTGCTGATTACAGTATCTTTATTACATTGGTGTTTCATGCAGGATTTTAAATCCATTGGATAAATACATGGACCCTTTTCAACCCTTGTTTTATTTGGTCTTAGTTTTAGCAATATTGTGCTTTTCCTGAGGTGCAGGCCTGTTTTTTGTTTTATGGATACTGAGTCATTTCTAACCAAATGTCCCTGTTGGAGTGGACTGCTGGAAAGCTCAGAGACAATGAGAAATAGCAGCAATGCCTCAGGGAGGAAGCTACCAGCCAGGAGTAAGAGATTTCACTCACAGTGTCTCAAACAATAGGGATGTGCTTTTCGAACAAGAATGGTCCAGCAAGGGATCCATGACTCTCTTAGGTCAATCATGATTCATCTTCTAGGGCTGAGAGCTGGACACTTGTTACCAGAACAAAATCGGGGCTTTCCAGAAGGAAGAAGGGTCAGATGACTGTTGTGTAGACAACTGGCCCACCGTCCTGACAAAAGGCATTTTTTAATTGGACTCATTTCTGAGTCCATTTTTGGTCCCTACCCTATTTTTCCTTTGAATTTCTAATTTATTTGTAATTTGTGTAATTCTGTCATATTTTAGGTGTTGTAACTTGTCTTAAATCATTCCTGGAACAAATCTATAAATAAGTAAAACAATAGAGGAAAGATTAAGAAGCTATGTTTTATATATAAAGGTATAATAATTTTGATATATATAAAGGTATTAATCACTTTTCATGTCAACATTGGAAAATGAGTTTTTATTTTATCTTATTAGCAGGGCACCAGTAATATTTTTAAAGACTAATTTAAAAGTAGCTAGAAATGTCCTGGGACAATCAGATCACCTTTGAACTTTCCATGTTTTGAGATAAATGACTTTAATTGTCCTGTCAGCTTCTTCTTTTTTTTTTTAAATTTTAGGTATATTTATTTACTTTAGAGAGAGCGAGAAGAGCACACGAGGGGGGTGGGAAGGGGCAGAGGGAGAGCGAGAATCTCAAGCAGACTCCCTGCTAAGTGTGGAGCCTGATGCAGGGTTCGATCTCACAACCCTGAGATCATGACCGGAGCCAAAACCAAGAGTCAGACACTTAACTGACTGTGCCACCCAGGTGAACCATGCCCTGTCAGCTTCTTAATCAATCAGGAAAAAGCTATTTGCTTGAAGACAGAGATGAATAATTTTTCTGAATAGTTACCTAAACTGAATGTAGCCATAGTGGGACAATGTCCTTGAGGAGACGGTAAATACTTTTTTTCCCTCAATATTGACTTGGACTGGTATGTCCCTCAAAATTACTGTTTGTTCTTAGAGAAGATTCGTGTATGATTTTTTCAAGTACATGTTCATCAATGTGGCAAGACGAGGCGGGAGCTGGCCAGGGGGCCGGAAGCCTGAGATTCCCTCCCCCCACACTGGCAGGTCTGCGCCACCTGCAGTCACACCTGGACCTGATTTTATTTACAAGTAAGTAACACAAACTATGGATATAGACTGTTGACTGTTGTAATTGCTTTTCAGGGCCTTAGAGACACAACCGTTTGCTCCTTCATTTGGAGAACTTTTCTAACATCTCCTATGTGCCAGGCACTCTGCTGGGTGCTAGAAAAATACGGTGAGCACAATCAGCCATGGGCCTTCCTCTCTCGAGGAGCTTAGGCTCTTCTGAGGAGATGTCATTAATCAGAACACCACTTTAATGAATATAAACTTGAAAACTGAGATAAGCATTCAGAGGGAAGGGATTTCTGATGCATAGTATCTTAGAATAAAGGCCTGAAAGTTCAGGAAAAGACTTCTCTGAGAACAGATGGTTAAGCTGAGATAGGAAGCTAAGTAGAAATAACCAGGAGACTCGTAGAGGGATGAACAGGGGCAGATCCCTGTGGTGAAGGTACTTAGGGAACAGAGAAGCCAGTGGGGCTGAGGTGCAGAGAGCAAGGTGGAGAGTGGCTGGGAAGCAGCTTGTGGTGGGGGAAGGGAAGGACACATCACAGGGCAACCCTGGAAGGTTTTAAGCGGCCTGGTAAGATTTGCATTTTGAAAAAAAATGCCTCAATGTGGAGAATGGGCTGCAGAGAGCCTGGAGGGGAGGCTATAGCTGTGGGACAGGCAAGAGATGGGTTGGCCAGAAAGAGCAGGGGCAATAAAAGTAGACCAACGTGGGCCACTCCAGAGATACATACCAGTAAAACAGAAGAGGACAAGAGACTGACTGGGGAGGGAGGGCTCAAGAGGAGGAGGAGGGGGAGGGGGAAGGGAGGGGGAGGGAGGGCTCAAGAGGAGGGGGAGGGGGAGGGGGGAGGGAGGGGGAGGGAGGGCTCAAGAGGAGGGTGGGGGGTGTTGTGTTGAAAGGGGGGGGGGGGGGGTTGTGCCTCCACTGAATTTGGAAACACCAAAAGAATGGCAGATGTGGAGAGGAGGAAATCCCAAGTTCAGTCTTGGATGGAACATTCACGTGGAGTGGCGGAACAGGGGATTAGAAAGAGGGACCCTGCACTCAGAGGAGAGGCTTGGACCAGAGAACTCTGGGAGTCTTGATGGGAAGTCACATGAGGGTCTGGAATAAATGTGCCTAAGCAGAGTAGGAAGCAAGAAGAGGGCTGGTTCTAAAACTGAGCCCTGAGGACATCCAGGGTCAGTCAGTAGTCAGGTCAGGTGCAATAAGCCTGGGAAAGAAGCAGAAAAGGAGCGGACAGAGACAAGAGGTGGCTCTCAGGTGATACCGAAATAGAAGGTATTTTCAGTCAATTACTGTTGATGTTGATGTCAACCAGAGGGGATCAAGCCTGAATAAATCTGGACAGTTATTTTCAGGATAGCAGTTAACTTTAATTCTGTAGAATGTATTCATATCCCATCTCCTTCCAAAAACTTGGAATGGCTGACAACTGGTGAGCCTCTTTGAGAACTTTGCGTCTTTTTTTGTTGTTACTGGACCCAATAAGAAAACTTCTCATTACTGTCCACAAGGTGGTGCTATGAGAGTGACATTTTTCAATCTCATTATCAAATCTAATTATCAAGTAAATGTGGGTGATTCAGTCGCACACACAAAAACCCAGCAAATAATTATAAAATTGATGTAATGGATATTTGATCTTTGTGATACTGGGAACTGGTATCTCTAAGCATGGTGGGTAAAAGTGTTCTAACCTAGGAGTCTTCTCTCTCTTCTTCTCCAATGGGGGCAGCAAGAACTATAAATGTTAACTTCAAAACAGCCCCACCTGCGCCACTACCTTCCTGGTGCAGGCACCCCTTGCTCTCCCCTGAACTATTAAAATAGCCACCCAAGTGCTCCCCTCACTTCTCTCCTATCCCCTTCCAGTCCTTTTTCAACACAGCAATCAGTCCTCTTTCTAAAATTTGAATCTGATCATATCATAGTAATTCACATTACTATGATATGAATTTTTCATGTAATGAGGACAAAATGCCAAAATCTTAACATGATCTACAAGAGTCTGTAGGATTTAGTTCCTGATTCATCTCATGCCACTCTCCTCATCACCGTACTCCCCCCAAGCGACACTCATCCCTATTTCAGGGGCTTTGCCTGTACCGGTCCCTAAGCCCACAACGATCTTCACTCTTGTTCTTCAGATTTCTGCTGAAAACCACTTCTTCAGACGGGCCTTTTCTGACATCACCCCCCTTCTAATAGCTCTCACTGGTTCATTTCTCTTAGCACCCTGTTCTTTATACCACTTGCCATGATTTACAATGACATGCTTATTTATAAGCTTATGTGTTAAATGCCTAGCGCCCCCTAGACCAGT